TTTGCTATTTGATGATACCCCTGTGTTAGGTCTATGGATGTAAATACCGTAGCACCTTCCATTCGTCTCAGTAACTCGTTTATACGAGGAAGATGGAAACTATGAGCAGGTAATAATTTGCTTATTGTACTCATATCTAGACATACTCTGACTTTCTTAAATGTTCCGTCAGATTTGTGTTGATCAACTGCCAATAATGCTAAGTTAACTGGCGTTTGTTGGTAATTGATTTTGATTACCCCGTCGGATAACCATTTCTCAACTTGTTCTTTAACTACAGCTTCGTGTCTCCAAGAAACATAGCTTCTTGAAGAGTATTTGAGCTTAGTAAAGTCTCCCTTGGTTAAGTCAAGGCTGACTTATCCTTCGTTGAAGCGGAATTTCGCCCAGTCGGTTATTTTTATCTTCTTATTTATTGATATAAGATCCAATATCTTATCGGCAAAGCCAGGAATTAATTCCTTGACTGTGTCTGACGAGGGCTTAGATGGCTTTAGCCAATTATCGTCTGATTGATCCTTTAATGGATCTATTCCTGGCTCCTGTATAGGTACCTTCTGAGATTCGTCTTTGTCCCCTATAATTGGGGACCTTTCTTTCTGAGTTTCGTCAGAAGAATTGGTTGGGGCGTCTTGAGACGTGTCCCTTGTCTCACTTCTTGGCTTCGTAAATGCAAGCTTCGGAAGTTGAGGCAATAGTTGGCGCTCGGGCTCTATCTGTAGAGTAGTTTCATTAATCGGAGTGGCCACATCCTTATCCGAGGCATTGTCCTGACTATTATTGTCGGAGACAAGTGCTTCGGCTAAGGTGTGGTTAAACGCATCGGCAGCAGCTGCGGTTGCTTCTGGGGCAGCGGTAGCTGCTGCAGCGCTAGCGGTTTCTCTTTCCATATTTTTACGTTCGGCCTTGCGTTTCTTTGCAGGCGTATTGTCTTTCCTTGTCATAATCTTAACTTATAACTTCAGTCTTATTCTCCTAAGGAATGGCTGTGCTTACGAAAAATTTCGTGGTAGTTATCTACCTTTACGTTTAAGTAGTCTAAGTAGTTAATACCTTTGCTAACTTTAAAATGTGTAAGATTCGGTCTATCAAGATATTAACACCTTAGAGTAATTAAACGCTTAGGTTAAGTCTAAGTATAGTTAAATTCGAAATAAATAAACGAAATGAGTCTTTTAATAAAATTAGGTATGCCTCGTGAAAACAGCAATACTCTGAGGGATTGTGAGGCTGAGACATTGCCTATATATAATCCTCTCATTACTGTTTTCGCCGAAGGGATTTTTTTAGTGTTTCGTTGTCGCTCTAATAGAAACTATGGTATGTTTCGTTGGGGCGAATCCGAGAGACTCATAGTATCCTATATTTGGAAAAAAAAGAATGGAAAAATAAAAATACTCTTGATGCCCATAGTTATTGCATTAACCAATAACTTGCCACTTATCAAGAATTACCGATTTAGTCTTCATCAGACTGGCACATCCGGTTGGCTGAACGGATGTTAAACTAAGCAACGCTAATAGTCCTTAGAAACCTGTGTTCGGTTGAGCCATCTCGCTACCGAAGTATTGAGATATAAATAGACTTGGAAAGTAAATATAGTTCTATTAATAGAACTAGACCAAATCTTATGTTTGGTATTTTACTGGGGCCTTTTAATGGCCTATATTTTTACGTTCGGCCTTGCGTTTCTTTGCAGACGTATTGTCTTTCTTTGTCATAATCTTAACTTATAACTTCAGTCATATTCTCTTAAGGAATGGCTGTGCTTAGGAGAAATTTCGTGGTAGTTATCTACCTTTACGTTTAAGTAGTCTAAGTAGTTAATACCTTTGCTAACTTTAAAATGTGTAAGATTCGGTCTATCAAGGCGATATTAACGCCTTAGAGTAATTAAACGCTTAGGTTAAGTTTAAGTATAGTTAAATTCGAAATAAATAAACGAAATGAGTCTTTTAGTAAAATTAGGTATGCCTCGTGAAAACAGCAATACTCTGAGGGATTGTGAGGCTGATACATTGCCTATATATAATCCTCTCATTACTGTTTTCGCCGAAGGGATTTTATTTAGTGTTTCGTTGTCGCTCTAATAGAAACTATGGTATGTTTCGTTGGGGCGAATCCGAGAGACTCATAGTATCCTATCCTATCTTTGGAAAAAAAAGAATGGAAAAATAAAAATACTCTTGATGCCCATAATTATTGCATTAACCAATAACTTGCCACTTATCAAGAATTACCGATTTAGCCTTCATCAGACTGGCACTTCTGGTTGGCTGAACGGAGGTTAAACTAAGCAACGCTAATAGTCCTTAGAAACCTATGTTCGGTTGAGCCATCTCGCTACCGAAGTATTGAGATATAAATAGACTTGGATAGTAAATATAGTTCTATTAATAGAACTAGACCAAATCTTATGTTTGGTATTTTACTGGGGCCTTTTAATGGCCTTGTCCAAATATCTGATATGTAAAACGGAAAAGGTATTTAATTAATAAAAACCGTTAAAAACCATTTAAGAGTTTACTTACTTTTAAGAGTACGGTTTACGTACTATTAAAAGTACGTTTATATTACAAGATTCTAATGTGGAGGCCCGGCTTTTACATCTAGTGGTATGACTACGATAAAACAGGGTCGATACTCTTGCTTGCGAGTGAGCCAATTCTACTACGACATGGGTAAATTTATCTTGTGTGCCTGGGTGTGTCGATACGTACATATGACAAGGTGCAAGTCCACGCATGTGATAATTATTAATATAATCAAAATTTATCTGGGCCGATAATGAGCGCTTCCACGATTACTAAATACAAATTGCTAAACTTTGCAGCCGTCACTTAATATAGAAGACAACGAAGGAAAACCATTCAATCGACTCGATGACGAAGAAATTGTTGCCCAGTTAGAAGGATACTCAACCAATTTGAGCTGGAAAATGGCCGAATGTTCCGTAGGTGACTCAGGAAGCGCACATGCAGGATCAACCAACTCGAATATAACGGAGATGACCTGCTTGCAACAATCGATATTCAAACTCAAGTTCATAACCGAGACACCTTCGGTGTGTTACCAAAAACCCACGCTATACACACGCGAGACAGAGCAACCTTCACTTATCATTTCCACACCATAGAGAATTTACATCTACGATACTATCAATGGACTCGAAGTAATGTTGATTTATCTGCTGAGCATACTGAGGTAAGTTTCGTCTTAAGTATTCTAATTTAATGTTAAATAGTATACACGTAAACAACAAAATTTATAAACATGTATATAATACTGATCTATATCTAGGTACTACGCAGAACCTTTCGTGCAAGACGCCAGCCGGAAAGAGAAAAGTTGAACGTGAAGGGCAAACGCATTGGAATGGAACAAAGATGACCTGCTTGCCACAATCGATATCCAAACTCAAGTTCATAACAGGACACCTTCGGTGTGTTACCAAAAACCCACGCTATACACACGCAAGACAGAGCAACCTTCACTTATCATTTCCACACCATAGAGAGTTTGTAACTACGATACTATCAATGGACTCTGTAAGTAATGTTGACTTATCATCTGAGCATACTGAGGTAAATTTCGTCGTGAGTATTCTAATTCAATGTTAAATAGTATACACATAAACACAAATTTGTAAACATGTATATAATACTGATCTATATCTAGGTACTACGTAGAACCTTTCGTGCAAGACGCCAGCCGGAAAGAGAAAAACTGAACGTGAAGGGCAAACGCATTGGAATGGAACAAGCCTGCCGACTGGAGACATACCGACATATACATATTGACGAGATTGGGTCAAAGTCTTTACTGCAGTTCAAAAACAATCAAGTCAACGGACTCGCTCATAACATACCCAATGTCCCTGCAGCACACGTAAGTTTGGTAACAATGTCAGGAGCTACATCTACAGAACATAACACATTGCTTGCCGTATCTGATACCGGACAAACCTCAGATAAACTCAAACAATATGTAAAATTTGGCTTAGAAAAATTATTGTTTGTCAGCGGTATACCACAAACAGTGATCACGGATGAGCACGTTGTGACAGAGGCATGTTTGCTCGCTTATTTAATGGCCTACGGTGGTCGACAGAATTACGTTCCATTCTACGAGTATTTAAAGTTTGCACCAGCAGACTTGGACAAATACATAAGCCTATATACCTATATATTGAATACCCCGGAGCGGAAGTGCGAACATACCTCAACTTCTGTTATGTGCACGTGAAGAAGTGCATAAGAAATTGCTGGCAGACTGCAAAGGACCGAGGTCTGCAATATCCATCGCTACTTGATGCGAATGAAGACGTTCTTGTTCCTGCGGGAGTTGCACGCTTCGATGACATGGAGGACTTGTACCGAAGTCAGGCGAATGATGTATATACAACAGCTAAGTTGACGATGAAGGCCGTTCAAACTGACATTTTGGAGAAGCAGGAGGTGAACGCATCATTAATGGTACTCTTGGAGCAGAATCAGTATGCGCTTTCGATGAGGGACGATCAGACATTCAAACCGCGAGATCAATGTAACGATACAATTGCAAACGTGCTGAGAAATATACAGCACATTGAAACAGCTACGTCTGGCACTCAAAACTTCCTATGCATTATTCGGGAGTTATTTTGGAAACAACTGAATATCAAAAGTAAGACGAAAAGTACAAAGACAAATGACCCTATGTCAAAACTGTATACGACAATAGATCATCCAATATTGGGAATCGTGTGTGACTTGCTACCACGATGGTTAAAACTATGGTGGAGCGAGGCCAAAGAAAGTGCCACTGATGCTCAGATACAATCAAACAGTAAGAAGATGAGTACCAACTGCTACGGAGGACTTACAGAGAAAACATTTCTCTCGAGTGTTCACACTTTGCGATCAATGGGGAGTCAGATTAAATACATGTTGACTGAGCTGGGTATGGATTTCATTCTGCCGGGTGAGATCTGCATTGATAGGATTTAACTACATTTTGGAAGCGTAAGGGAAACAAACGGAGGCGAAGTGGATGTCGATTGCACTGATGTATTTGAGTATGAGCAAAAACGGATGGTAAGTAAAGCATACATGACTTGCTCTATCGATGGGGAATGTAACAGGCAAGAAAATTATAACCGATAGAGATGATGAAACAACAGAGCTAGTGGAACAACTATGTGCTTCAATTAAACCTCTGTTAAAAAACACACAAGTATACTCACAGCCATCCATAGCTAGACATCAAAAACAATACCGGAGATTGCGGCGTACAAAAACCCAGTATATGTCACCATAGGAGAATGCTGTGCAAGAAAGCGTGTTGCATATGTGAAGAAAATATCACGTCAAATTTTTTGTTGTATGGAATGTTTAGACACGATTAGGATAGAAGAGCTGGTGTCTGATTTGTCGGTCGAGCTCAAAAGCTATCCCACGTCACTAATGGAGCATATAAATGAAGGAGATCTAACGTACCCTAGTGTGGGTGTGCACGCAACGAGTGTGATATGTGGAGAAGTGATACAAGCAATATGTAATGACAAAGCCGTCAATGCACTGCTCTTCTCGAACATCACTAATGCACGTGTAAATGTGCTTGCAATATAGTGATGTAGCCCTCCGCCAACGTTGTGACGACATCAGGAAGAACTCAACAAACCGTTGGTCCAACAAGGAGATCGCGGCAATGGCCCGGCGCCAATACTACTACCAACTGGTTATGGGTAAACCGCCAACCTCAAACCGAGACACAGCCAGACACGACAGCTTCAATCGCTGCTTCGAGTCTACACCAATCCGGCTCTGTGCTATGATTGTAACGAATACGTACATGTTCACATTGCTCGACTACCGCACCGACGGCTGTCTCTGCCCTGTTTGCCCCGGTAGCCACAAGTTCACTACCAGCCACTTTACCTGCATCCAACAACTGATTCGACGCATCCTGGTAGGCCCGAAACTGCCACCCATTGGCCCTGACCTCCTTCAGCAATTACAGGAGTGCCACGACTTCCACGGTATCTGGACCCTCCA